ATAAAGAAAGTGATGAGAGAATCTTTTTCTTTATCGCATGTATGGTTTGTATTGTATTTGTAACTTAATTTTTTGAACACAAAAGAAGATATTTTGAAGAATGTCAGTAACCAAACTGACATTTGGTTGACATTGGACAAAATTCAATGGGCCCGATTGACTTTCATAGTAATTTTTTTCAAGTCAATGGGGTCCATCAGCTGTCTGGTTTCTGACATTCTTTGTGTTCAGCAGAAGAAAGAAATTCATACAAGTTCATTTTCGTTCTTCTTCTCTTAGAAGTAAAAAGAAGGTGTAAATCTAAGATGATCTCGTCCTGGGCCCAGGCAAGACTGTCAGCTGGCCTAACTTGAAATCTCATCATAAAGCATCACAAAAAATCCTTTCATTGTTTCCTAAATGTGCAAACATATTTCCTTTTGGAATTTTAAACATCAAATAACTGGACTTTCCGAGATTTCCTAATTTTCCTGAAACTGTGTGTTTGCATCACTTTGTCACTGTCTCAACCAGTACTTTCTTAATGGTTTAAACTGTTTTATTAGGCCTATTTGCTAATACATTTTACTAATTAAGCAAGAAATAGCCAAATTATCACACAATAAATTCGGACTAAAGCTAAATCAGGTCCCATGTGTAAATTAGAATAATAGGTTAAATAATAAAGGGACATTAACCTTTTGTTTGTTAATACATGGATTGGAGATAAAGAGAGCTAGGCTATAGGCTAGCATAGGCTAACTTAATGGTCACAGAGGAATCGAGATTGCAGTTCAAGCCTCCACACGGGCTGGCTATAGTTCACTTAAAAATGAATATTCTTCTGAAATTTATACGACTTTGAAATAACTTGAAAGGCGAGTAAATGAAATAATTTTCATTTTTAAGTTTTAATAAGAGATCAAAGCTAAGTACGTCATTAGTGATGCGTCCTACAGCCATGGACATCTTGTGTTTATTCCTTCGTTTTGTTTGTCTTGTGAAATCAAGGAAATTGCGCAATCGTCCGGGAAACTCCAGCCCGGTATATGACTCCAGTAAACTCCAGAATGTGGACACAGTCTTAGTATTGTAATCCTGGAGTGAAAGTAAGCAAATTCATTTGGTCCTCCAATAGGGGGAGATAAAAGACAAAACACACAATTGTTCAGGTTTTGATTTAACTTGTGGAGTTTGATGCTGCTTCCTTTACAACAATCTGAATATTAAGTCTGACTTTAGTGTAATGTTTGCAACTCAACTTCAGACTTTTTTTGGTTATTCAGATAAAACAAATTGTAATTGAAACATTTTGCATTAAAAAAAGATACAAACATAGTGTGTATAGCTAGTTGACCTAGTTGATATATATATATATATATATATATATATATATAATTTTACTTATTAGTATTGATGGTAATGTTAAAGGGAAAGATGACAGTATACTCTGCATCACAGATTCATTCTCAGTGTATCACATTATTTTTCACCTATTTTTCTGTTTTAGTGTGGGATTATCTGAACTGTAACCATAAAGATTATTCATTCAAAAACAAGAAAGCATCTGAGCACATTTACTGCTCTCAGTGGTGAATCATCAGGACAAGTGATCTCTGAAGAGTGATGTTTAATTCATCTAAACGAGACAGTTCACCTGCAAGCATGTCTGGGTCAAGATATAATCTCTGGCCTGAACGTAACACGAAAGAGAATAATCCAATCAATTGTCATTATTATTATTATTTCATATCTTTAAGAAACGGCATATGGTGCTTTCCACAAATAGGACACAATTACACCTTAAACTATGACAACTAAAAAATATATTTAGAAATTGGTTTAAAAAAATTCAACCAATGGTTGGGGTTGTCCATATTTGACCTACACTGACAACCCAGCATTTTTAAGAGTGAGAATAAAGAAATAAAGTTTCCATAAATTCTAGAAAAATTGTGAAAAAGTCTTCATTTTAATTTGAAAACTTATTTTTCTTTGTAGCACGCAAACTTCTTTGGAAGCATGCAATCTGTCAGACACTGCCGTAAATTATTTTTAGATAAATATATATATATATTTAAATAATTATGCAATATCATTGCAACAGATTATTTTAGAGTTATAAAATTGGTGTGCTGTCACTGGTATACCTTTTCAAAAGGTACATATTTGTTCCTTTTAGAGACTAATATGTACACTTTAGTTACTAATATTTACCTTTAAAGGTATGCCAATATGCACCATTTTAAAAAGGTGCCACTCCAGTCACGGCTTTTGTTCCTTTATTTCTGAGAAGTACAGTCAAGAAAGCTCAGGACTTCTGCAGTGAGAGAGGCCAATATTTTTGTTTTCCAGAGGAGAAACAGATATCTTTGTACACTATTTGTGAAAAGTGCATGGTTGTTTTCTAAAAAACAAATGGTATGTGGAAAAGGAATTAGATGATGATACTTAATGGTGAATGTGATCTAAACCTGATCAAACGGATATAAGGATTTATAATATTTATCAGTTACATGTGGCATTTAATATGTATGACTGATCTATAAGCGATATATCCTTCTATGTTACAAGATCTAATTTCTCTTTTTCTTATTTATAACCACTTGCCCCTTTCCTTACCCTTTCTGTCTCTCTCTCTGCCTCAAACTCTCTAACATCCCTCTCTCCTCCTACCTTTTCTTAACATTTGATAGATTGCAATTAGATATCCTTGTAAAATCAACAGGAGTCGTTACTCAATCCTTCAGTTTACATTTCGGTTTCGTCGTCAGTCAATGGCATCCCCTCTTCTCCCCTCACCCTGAGTTCACTGCGTCTGACGTACAAATACTCCCCTATTTTATCTCCTCTTTCATTTTCCGTTACTGAGCTTTCTCTTCTTCTGTAGCTCTTTATCCATAAATTATACATCAGGTGAAGGGGAAATGCAGACAGAGAGAAGATTTCATGCTATGATCATTAAATCTATGTAAATATGAAGGGTTAGATAAGCTGAGCATGAGTAGATGTGTTAGGAGATACATTTAAATGCACTGATCAAATCTGAAAAGATTAACCATGCTAAACACAAATGTGGGCATTTAAACTGTCTACAATGAGGTCACCATTGTTTATGTCCTATAAAAATCAGTGAGATTGGATCTCAAAATATTGAACCTTTTCAAATATATACACACACACACCCACACAGACACATATACACCTTGATATATATATGAGTTCAGATGCAAAAGCCTCTAAATGCCATTTGAAATTTTCTTCTTTAATGATGATTTTTATCAAACTTGTATATTTAAGTTCAGTAATTTCACTTAAATGGCAATGATAATTACCTATTAATTGTTATTTAAGTGAAATTAATGAACTTAAATATACAAGTTTGATAAAAATCATCATTAAAGAAGAAAATTTCAAATGGCATTTAGAGGCTTTTGCATCTGAACTCTTCATATATATATATATATATATATATATATATATATATATATATACACACACTCACCTAAAGGATTATTAGGAACATCTGTTCAATTTCTCATTAATGCAATTATCTAATCAACCAATCACATGGCAGTTGCTTCAATGCATTTAGGGGTGTGGTCCTGGTCAAGACAATCTCCTGAACTCCAAACTGAATGTCAGAATGGAAAAGGAAGGTGATTTAAGCAATTTTGATCGTGGCATGGTTGTTGGTGCCAGACGGGTATTTCACAATCTGCTCAGTTACTGGGATTTTCACTCACAACTATTTATAGGGTTTACAAAGAATGGTGTGAAACAGGAAAACATCCAGTTTGCAGCTGTCCTGTGGGTGAAAATGCCTTGTTGATGCTAGAGGTCAGAGGAGAATGGGCCGACTGATTAAATCAGTCGACTCCACCGGGGTCTTGATCAGAAGACCCCACCGGGTACCACTCATCTCCACTACAAATAGGAAAAAGAGGCTACAATTTGCAAGAGCTCATCAAAATTGGACAGTTGAAGACTGGAAAAATGTTGCCTGGTCTGATGAGTCTCATTTTCTGTTGAGACATTCAGATGGTAGAGTCAGAATTTGGCGTAAACAGAATGAGAACATGGATCCATCATGCCTTGTTACCACTGTGCAGGCTGCTGGTGGTGGTGTAATGGTGTGGGGGATGTTTTCTTGGCACACTTCAGGCCCCTTAGTGCCAATTGGCTTTGTTTAAATGCCACGGCCTACCTGAGAATTGTTTCTGACCATGTCCATCCATTTATGGCCACCATGTACCCATCCTCTGATGGCTACTTCCAGCAGGATAAGCTCGAATCAACCCAACCCAATAGAGCATATTTGGGATGTGGTGGAACGGGAGCTTCATGCCCTGGATGTGCATCCCACAAATCTCTTCTAAAGAATGCTTTCAGCACCTTGATGAATCAATGCCACGTAGAATTAAGGCAGTTCTGAGGGCGAAAGGGGGTCAAACACAGTATTAATATGTGGTGTTTCTAATAATTTTTTAGGTGAGTGTAGGTCATATAGGTTATTTTATGGTTGCAAAATAATAACCTAAAAATCATAATTAGGGAATGTTACATATAAGTTACTTGAAAGTCATTGACACATCTTTCCAGTAACAGAATCAAATAGAGGTTGATTGCTGTGGCATCAGATAAGAACATATCCAGGTTTAGACAACAGGATGATAGAGATCACTGCACAAACGCTCATGGTTCATAGTTGATGTTTGCTACACTAATAATATTAAAATAATATAAATTAAAAAAAACCATTAGAAAACAAAAATTAGCAGAAAGCGCCATAAAATACAGAAGCAAATTTCAAATAAATAAATGAATGAACACAGAAACCCCTTATCTTACCAATCCAATGCACTTTAGAATGCAGCCTAGAACTCAGACCGAAAAGGGCAAATGAAAGATAAGGAGAGAGAGGTATCGGATGGATAGAGTGTCACCTGAATGTTAGAAGGCCAAACAGCAGACACGGTATCCTTCAGTATTTCTTTGCCCTGTTGGATAAAACACACCTGGGCAGAGAGAAGGATGACAAACTGTGGACTTCTACAGAGGAGCAGATCAGACCGAGTCAGATGGAGAGAGACATATAGGCATCAATAGAATGAAAGATGTGGCAAAGCAGAAAGAGGTTTAAATTGATTTCTTTTGACTTTTGAAAAGAATATTACCACATTATCCAGCCTTCCTAATTCAGCTTGAGTTACTGAATACAGTTCTGAGAAATTCACAGGAGAGTAACCTCTGACAGGCCCATACTGGGAGGGGTAAAACAGGTGTTGTCTTACTGAGAGAGAGAGAGAGAAGAGGAAGAGAAAGAGAGAGCGTGCCATTGTTGCAAGGATGTTCATGATTATTCGAGAGGGATCAGCAGGAGGGGCAGGTAGTACCGGCGGCATGAGCGCTCCACCGGAGAGAACAGCGAAACAGGTAGAGTCATTCATGTGTGTGCTTATTATATGAACTACACAATTTTTCCCCCCCAGATTCATAGAGAGTGATTTTGGGCTTTAAAATATTCTGCTCTGAATAAAATCAGTTTAAAGGTAAATTGTGATATTTGTAATGTTAAAATACCTTGTTTTTCCAGCTTAGTATGCACAGACACCTAAACAGATAACTATAACTATAAAAACATTTCTCTGTTTGAGCTCAGCCTGGCATAGCAGCATTTTGGCACAATCGATGACATAGGTTTTGGGGCGGGGCTATCTATTTGACCGACCAATGGCAGATTGACGGATTGTTCTGATTTGATGCGTTAAAAAACGTTTGTTTTTTTGATTAAAAAACAAAATTTTTTTGTTTGCTGCATTTTAAGACTGAACCTAAGCCAGGGACACACTTAACGATTGTAAGGCTGATTATGAATGTAATTTGATACGACTGATCACAAACGCACCGAGTCAGAGACAGTTGCGTTTAGTTGGTGTTCTGTTCACAGTTGGTTTTTAAAATCTGCTACAGTCCTTGGAAAGTCTGTAAGTGTGTTCAGTTCAGTCTTAGAATGTTTCAGCAAGTCGTGTCGCTAATAGTCGCTAGCTAACTGTGTCCCCAGCATTACACATCACTGTGAACATTAAAGTTTAATATGAGCACAGCCACTGTAATTATGCTGAATGAATATTAATTTTTTAATTTTAATGAAATTGTTTATCTGTGTTTACATTAGGTGTGTTCGACTTGAAGCGGTGCTGCATAGATCGAACGATGTATGACAAAAATTACAGCGAGAGCGATTAGCATGCTATGGCGGTACTTTGATGTCATACACCGATCGGTCTGTGCAATGTAGAATCAAGTCGAACAGACCTATTGTCTACATTACAGTACAAACAATACAGTCAACTTTGATTGGCTCCAGGCTCATTTAGAAGATATCAGTCAAATCCACAATTACCAGCCAGTGCTCTGACTCCACCCACTTTTCTCTCTTGGCCTGTTTACACGAAGGAAAAACGCAGATATTTTCCTGCGGATTTGCTTCTCGTTTACACGAAAACGCAGTTTTTATCACAGAAAACGATTATTTCTAAACACTCTGGGAAAAGTGGAGATTTATGAAAACGGCGGTTATGTGTTGTCATGTGAACTGGGAGAAACGGCGTTTTAGGTTCTCTCTTGTCTATTCTGAGGATTCTGATTGGCTTGCATGGCTTTATCCTTCTCCCTACACTGCCGCCAATAGGTTTGGCATAGTTATGATGGCGCTCGATGGCGTATTTATGGGGGTGTGTGAACGATGTTATTTTTTGAAAACGGAGAGGGCGAAAATATTCGTTTTGCTAAATACCCGGCTTTGTGTAAACGTGGCCTTAAACACAACCCACATTGTAATAAAACTGTATGTGTGTCTCACTCCCTTTACTTATTTTAGTAAGGGTGGTGCCATATTTAATTTTACATGGATGGAAATGAGGCTGAGGCATTTGTTTCTATTATATCACATAGTATTTTTTACAACTCTCAAGTTTCAAAATGATTTTATGAAGTTTTTGAGTCTTAATAGGTTGGTAAACAACACCAGTAGCCTACAGTCTATTGAACACACTTCACAGGTTTGTTTTCATCCCTGTCTAAAATTAAACATGGTGCTATACCCAGTTCTATGTAGGTTATAATTGCAATTAACTTTAAAATTATTACGTCTGACCTCCTGTGCCTTCTGACAGGTCCAAGCCGCAATCAAGAAGAAGGTGGAGAAACAGAAGAAGCAAGTTGAAATGGGTGTGGTGGAGGCATTCAACAACAATGCAAAACCTAAAATGGGACAGCGAAAGAATCAGCCCATCCTTCCTCCCAGCAGAGGTGGAGATGGCGAGGAGGACGTAGAAGAGGAGGCCGCAGAGACTGAGGAATCGAAGGAGAAGGTGGAACTCGACCTCGTACCTATCGTTGAGTCTGTGTTTGGCCAAGTAAGACAACACAAGAGCACCCCCTGCAGGCCACATATCCCAAACACATATTGCCATTTCATACCCTTTAAAGGGACACTATGCAGCTTTTTAGCTTAACTGAACAGCTTCAGAGTTATTGAAATGGTTATATGACTTCTTTCGGGTTGAATGATGGGCGATATACAATCACTAATAAACAATCGGTTTTAATGAGGAAAATAAACTATTAATAAACTACTTGTACGGATAAACTACTTGTACGGATTAGAACCCAGAACCTCTGACAAACTTGGTAAAAAGGTTTTTTTTTTTTTACGTTAAAAACAAATACTCCACAGCGACTCCAGGGATCACTGTTTGACAAAAACGGGATTCCTGCCTGGTGTCCCGCAGTCTTTCAGTGGCCCACTACTACTGAACCTTCAATTCTGCTAAATAAATGGATGTACATTTCTTTGTGAAGTATAAATATCATCATGATATCTAAGTAGTTTAACTGATTTTATTTTAGTAAAATAGATATAGCGAATCATATAAGAAATGAAATGCGCGTCAAAACATCAGTTTAATGGTAGTTTCTTGGTAAACTTTTTATGTAAGTCTAGAAATCATTATCCAATATGTTCTATTCACATTTTTCCACCCGACCTGACCCTCAAAATTGACTTTCATTGGAAATTTTACTTGAGGTTGTTATTTTAGTATTATTTATATGCTATTATAGTTTTTAGTTATATTTTGAATAATCTTTTATGTATTTATTTCAATTTTTATTTTTAGGTAATTTGCAATATTTCTCATACCTAAATTTCATTTTATTTCAGCTTTTAGTTTTAGTTTTTAGATGTATATTAATTTAGATGCTAGCACATGAAACATTTTTTAATTTTTTAGATGCATGATGATGGGAATGTATACGTGTGTCCCAAAGTGACTTACTTCATTAGCAGATAGATGGTTAGGTGACTGTCAGGCATGAGACGACGGGTAAAGGAGCTGTCCTAACAAGCACGTACCTGTCCCCTGGTGGTTCATCCGCTCATGACTCATAACCTGGTCTTAGCCATGTAGTGTTGCATTCCCACACTATAGGATAACCTTGCGTCCAATGGTAATCACCTGATATCAAGCTTGAATCACCAGCGGTGAGCACACTAGAAACACAATCTTGCCCACTCACCTTTCTGGAAGAGGGATCATTGTTTGTTATTGTCATAATTATTTAATTGGCTTGGAGAAATAGATAGCAACAAACTCATTTAGGATGATGAATTTACTGAGTCATGGCCTAAGCTGAATTTAATAATCATCTTTTCTTGCTTTTGTTTAGTCAAAAGTACTGAAAAAAGAATGAACTATGGCAGGATATGTTGGTATTTACTATTTTGTAGCTTACATTTGCAAAGTAATTTTCATTAGAGCATTCTCTGAAACTCTATCCATTAGTTACCTGAGAATGGGTATTATAGATAAAAGGGTTAACACATAGCTTGACTAGTCTGACAATAGATTATCTTCAAGTCAATAAATAAAGCAAAGAATCGGAACTTATGCGATTAACTCTCCACTTAAATGGGAGGGTAAATCGAAAATCGATTTTATAATAAATGAAACCCCTGCTGAACATATGGCATTTTTCAAAAACAAGGAACTCAATCTACCGAGAGGTTCATAGATAGGTTTTGTTTTCCATCTCAGGCCACTTGAACTGTTTCGACATAAAAAAGTGTTTTTAAAACCATGAATTTTTTAATGAATTCTGTTTATTAGTGCAGCTTTAAAGATTAAAAAACAGCTTTCAAACTTTTGATGCCAAGGACCCCCAAATAAGTAATAATTGTTATTTTAAAAAGTAAGTAATTATTTACTATTACTTCAAGAAATAATTATTTTGAGGGACCCAGTTTCTAAAACAGAAAAGCATCTTTAGATTTTCATGAAATCATGTAAAGATCCATTTATAATCTGTGAGGGGTAAAGTTGTTATAAAGACAACATCATTTTTGCTAGAATAATTGACATTTATATTGTTACTGTACTAAAGCAAATAAGTAAACGTTTATTTTACATACTAAACATTTTTTTTTATTTGAATTAAGTTGACTATATGACCTTTTCTACCTTTTATTAGATTAATGTTAGATGCTGAAAAACATTTTAAGCCTAATTTAGATTAAAATTAGTTGGAATTATTTTTAAAATGATAATGCAGTTGTTGTTGTTGTTTTTTTAGTTCCAAAGAGTGTTTTTCAATATTTGCGTTAAACATATTTGATCATTACTTTAAGTTAACAGTCCTCAAAAACATTTTGTAAAATCACAGACCTCCAGCACCTCCTTGCGGCCACTTTTAGATCCTTGTTCTAAAACAACCACTTCCTGTATATGAGCATCTGTGTGTATTGCTTTTTGTCAACTCTGATAGCAAAAAACAAAAACAAAAAAAAAAACCACTTATTATAATAGCAGCATAACCTAAAAGCATTTCCCGTCATGTTTCTCTGTCAATACACACAGAGAACACCATTGCTATTACTTATGCAGTCTGCATGTACAGCAGCTGGTGAACCCAAACACATCTGGCTCAATAGTCCCACAATGCTCAGCTGCTCACAAAGTGACCTCGTTTGACTTGACTCTTATCTGTTGGCTCAAACATGCAGATTCAAACTCTTCCCCATACACACCACAAATGCGTCATAATGTTTTTTTTATTATACACTATACAATAAACTGTAGCATTTATCTACATTCGCTGATCTTTTTTTTTTTTCAAACAATGTTGGCTCAGAAACACTGTTTCTGCTTTCACAGTTTCAGCGTGTACGTGTGATTGGATTAGAGTAGATTATCATTCTGACAGGCTGGCATACACAGGGCAATGACGCAGGGTTTTACTAAAATATGAGTGCGGATTAAATTGTGGTTCTCTGTTCATCTGCCCAAAGGTGTGTTTTGATTAGACTGGGATTATCACATGCACACACACAACTTTCACCCGTTGTTAAAAAGACAACCATTAGCTTTTAACCTCCTGTATTTTTCATTTGACTAAATTACAAACTATGCACTCTTTCTTAGTGGTCAATATGTTTTTTATATGGCTGATACTAATACCCATTTGGCTGATATAATAGCTGTACAATCTGAAACCACTAATGAAAATGCTGCAATTTTTCATAGAAACAGAAAAAAAATCTGATGATCATGTTTTAGCATGATTTGAAATTATCCAAAAATAGTAACCTGTTCTTGAGTGGAAGAAGAACATCTGATATCTGTCTTTGCAAAGGAGATCACATGATCAATACCATGCTTTTTATAGAAGAAATAGTACTCTAGAAATAGGACGGAATATTAAATATTTTTATTTTATTTTATATAATCCCACAAAGAACCCCAGTTAAAATGTTGAATCCCAGATTTTCAAAGTGTTGTGTGACATCATAGCATATTGAATTTTTAAATGTAATAATTTAATGTTGAGCAAACAGAAATGGAGTGAAATAAATGCACAAGATCTACTCTAAAAAAAAAAGAAAAAGGAAACATTAGTTTCCAGTCATTGGAAATAAAAATATGCACAATATATGAATATTTCCTGGTTAATCGACCACTGCTCTTTCTGCTCTTGTTCTCTCTGTACATCATCCCGTGGCTCTCCGTCTTTAATCTGAAATAGGGATTAAAAAAGCTTCTCATTTGTCCCTCTCCCGCTCGGCCTCTCTCTCTTTCAGCTTGTGAACGAAATCATTTGCATTGGACTGCAATCTGTGAAGAAAGTGAGTGGATCGGAAAGAGATTTTTTAAACGAGATGTGAAAATGGCAAGAATAGGGACAAGTATGCTTGTTCTATGAAACAGTAGAGTTGTTTGTGGTTTGCTTTGACTGATAGTTATAATGAGAAAAATGCAAAGGTTTAAAGAGACTTTTTTAGAGTAACTCAACAACATGGACTTTAAGTAGCTTAATATGGAACCAGGCGGGTGTTATATTGACATACCACTCTATAAATTAATTATATAAAAAGACATTGGAAACGTCTTCAGTGAGGATTAAGACATGGGAAACTGCACCAAACCATCCATGAAAAACAAAATGAAGAAGGTAAGAGAAACCTATTGAAAGGTCAGGGCCTGTATCGGGAACTGTGTTGAATGTATAATCTAGATATTTTGTTATCAGTATTTTAATATACTTTAGTTTGGTGTCTGTATTTGAATATACTTTAGTTTATAGACATGTCAAACAAATTGGCTAAAATGTGCTTAATTAGATTATGTCTCAAGTCAAATTTGGCCTCACCCCAAGGGTGTGTCTGAGGGTAAAGTGGCTGGGCCAGTGGCGCCAGGGCCCCGCCCACCCGGAGACGCCGACGGAGAAAATGAAGTAACTTCTGAGTTTAAGGGGCCACTGAATGCACTGGTCCAAAACTGCACCATGCTACATAATATCGTCGGACCCGCATGCATCTTCCTAAGACAGGGCTTCGCAAAGTCACAGCTCGTATGTACTATGCAAAACTAAAAACATAGTGTCTCAGCATCTACATTCTCCACTTGCATTAATAGAAAAGATCACATCATCATCATTGTGAATCATCTACTACATTTCACTCCTGTCCCGTTCACTGGTTTGTTGTTAAAGATCATGCCGGGAATTCTAAAGATAATTCATCCTAAAGTGATGTTTGCAAGTTTGTTTAATTTTCCTGCTTAAGCTTATTTGTTAAGCAGCCATCAAGAGTTGTCCAAAAGTATCGCTCAATAGTTAAGGATCAGTACGTTTTTAATTTTTTTATTTTTGTCATTTATACTCACCCTGCAAGGCTACATTTATTTGAGCATTTATTTTTGATAAAGACAGTAATATTGTGAAATATTATTACAATTTAAAATAACAGGTTTTTTTAAATATATTTCATATTTAATTTAATATACTTTATTCCTGGAAAAGCTGCCATTATTCTTAGTCTTCAGTGTCAAAGTTGTGCTGCTCAATTTTTTGATTCAGGATTCTTTGATGAATAGAAAGTTCAAAAGAACCCAAATATTTCAACGCATTCAGGGCGTCATCTAACTGACGCTTTTGACCAAGCGTGTAAATCCGACGCATATGGCAACCTTTAGCGTTAGTCAGATGACGCGGGTAGGTTTAGGTCTGGGGTAGGGTTAGGGTTAGACCACTAATCTCATATTGACGCTGAAGGGTGCCATGTGCGTCGGATTTACACGCATGGTCAAAAGCGTCAGTTTAGATAGATGTTAGTTAGATGATGCCTTGGGTTGAGAATGGATTTGTTGTCGCAACTTTTTTTCCTTTTGTCCAAATCAACTTTGATAATTAATGTGGTTCACATAATATTTTGAGATTCTGTTAATTAAACCAATCTCCTTTGAATTAACTCAACTATTCAACCAACTATTATTTTTTTACAGTGCATTGATTTGAACTAAAAATCTTTTTTATACAATAATATTTACTGCAACTTTTAAAATGCATTGCTGAATATAAGTATTATACGTATAATGTTTGACTAATGGTTCAGATGAATGAATGGATTTTTAACATTGCTTTTTTAGTTTAATAAATATTAACTGTGAGGATATGATATTCAGTTAACTGAGAAATGATTCTCCGCTGCATTTGCTGCATATGCAATCCACTGGTTTATAGTATGCGTATGCATGTTTTTACTATATGGTATTGGGTATTATAGATAAAGGTGTAAATGGAAAAAATAGAATCATCTATGGAATTTTCTCATGGCACTCTGTTTAACCTCATCCACTCTTTTGGTTTCTCTTAGCCCTCCACAAGTTAAACCCCCCAAATCTCCTTATCTTTTAGCTGCTGCCGGGCAATGTAATCTAGTGACTACCCATGTCACTATATTATCACACATTGGAATCAGTCCTCAAACTTGCATTTTGTCCCAGTTTCTCATTTCCACATACCCATGTGTTTTGTCTGAGTCGTTTTGATGATTCAGAGAGAGAGAGATGCATGTCTTCAAGTGCATCAGTGTTTAACGTCGTTTTTATGTCTCTTGATTTAACAGGACAGGGAACTGCGGCCAGAGGAGATAGAAGGTATCACAGAAACCACACTCAAGAGTCAGATTGGTAAACACCCTGTTCCTGCATTTCAATGTCTCTTTCATTTTTGTATTTATGCAGAACTAAGAGAAGCCTTTAAAGAGTTTGATAGGAATAAAGGATACATCAACTGCAGGGACCTGGGCGAATGCATGCGGACGATGGGATACATGCCGACAGAGATGGAACTCATTGAACTGAGTCAGCAAATAAGTGAGTGACATCACTGAGAATGCCCATATAGATATTCTGGTACTGAGACCATAAAACAAATCTGGGATTTTTAATTAAATGAATAAATTAGTTTAATAAATTAAACTTTTATTATTATTATTATTATTAAATGTAATAATAAAATTTATAGAAAAAATGCAATCTGTGTTTTCTGTATTTTTAAGGATAAAATAATAAAATGTGATTTAAAATAAAGTTGTATTTAACATTTCTTTAACATTTTAAATTATTTTACAGAAGAATAAAAAGTAGAAAAAATCCGTTGCGTTTAAAGTTGTGTTCTCTGTATTTTTTAAGGTGGGGGTAAAATCGACTTTGAGGACTTTGTGGAGCTCATGGGCCCCAAAATGCTGGCAGAGACAGCAGACATGATCGGAGTCAAGGAGCTGAGAGATGCCTTTAAAGAGGTACACACACACACACACACACTCACACACACATACACACACAGCCATCAGTGGCCTTATCAGCGTTTTACCGGTTTGCAGTTTGACTCCAATGGTGATGGGCAAATCAGCGTCACTGAACTAAGAGAAGCCATGAAAAAGCTGATGGGAGAACAGCTGAAACCCAGTGATATTGACGCTATCCTTCGTGATGCCGACCTCAACGGGGACGGACTGGTTGACTTTGAAGGTAAAAGAGCAAGGTTTAGCCTACAAATAAGGATGAATAATATTCTCATTTCTTAGCATTTTCAGTTTACCTCACTGAATATACTGTATTTCTGTTTCCTTTTTGTTTTCCTCAATCAACCTTACAGAGTTTGTGAGGATGATGTCACGTTGACGGAAGCCATACAGAAATTTTACAGACTTTATTTTCGTTATTAGTCGATTGGATCCCCAGTGGATGAGAGTTTTAAAAACGTTTGTGATGCAGATCTTAGTAGCCTATGGTTGAAGTGGAAAAAGCCACAAATCACCCGGTTCAGATGGATTAACGAGTAATTTCTATTTTTGGGAGTATATTAAAGACCTTGTTGTTCATAGAAATATCTGAATCCCGCATTCTTCCAACTACTATGAAACAAGGGATTCTTCTCATCCCAAAACCTGGGAAAAATCCGAAATTAATAGACAACCTTAGACCCATAACCCTGCTTAATAATGACCAAAAAAAGTTTGAAGCCAACTTCAATTTTATCTGGAAAAGAAAAGCACACTACATTAGAAAAGGAATCTTGGTTAAGGAGGGCTAAAAGCAATAGACATTGAATGTATTAAAGGTACTGTAAAAAAAACGAATTTTAAAAAACTGAAAGTAGTTTTTGGTTTCATATCCCCATGCAGTCAAATCTTTATGAAATTAGGAGGTGTCAATGTTCTCCTTAGATGTGATTATGACCTTAAGATACTCCCTGTTAAGTTATCAGTGTTTCATCAACAGGTTTTACTTGACTGAAATTATGCTTGTAAATCATTTTCCAGTACTCACAACATTGCTTTGTGGAACTAGGTATGTGGTATTGAGGAATAAGTCTTTATTTTACAAATATTGATGGAAATACTGGAGCCATTGTCTTTTGACACTTTCTGTTTAAAATGTAATTTATTTGACAGAAAACAGTATGATAACATGATCAAAGCAATCCCACAATCTATAATTCAGATGTATTTCAACATAGTTCAAATATAATGTAACCCAATGTCTTCCTAAGCTTTTGGTGAATGGAGTTTCTTTATATAACTCCATTTACCCAATATTACAATTCGCAAAGCCTTTGTGAAGGAATTATATCCTTATTCTTCAAATAAGGGTCTTGATGCTAATAGTTGCTCCTTTGATGAGATTGAAACAACAGAACATCTATTTGCCTATACCTTTTAGGAGGATTTGCATTACTGGTTATTTGGTAAATTTAAAGATTTACCTGCAGAAAATAATTTTTTGGGTATTTTTATGAAAGATGAAACACTTGGCTTGGCAGTAAACACATGTATTATTTTGGGGAAATTCTTTACACAAGAATATATTCAAGATGAGATGAGATTGAACAACAGATGAGCAACACATTTTTCCTATGGGTAGATTCCTAAAAACACAACCAAACTTTTACATTTTTCATAAAGACATTGTGTCATTACTTCTTATCACTAAAATTGATGAAGAAAAAGAATGCCTTAATCTTATCTACTTTGATAGAGGATGTGAAACTTTCTGAAAACCCCTAGTCTTTTATTTTATTTCATTAATTTATTTATTTTATTCATTTTATTTTTTATTATTTATTTTTTTTTACCTTATTTGTATTTTCTATATTCTATGTTATGGTGCTTGTCTGTTGTCTGAGAAGACATTTCATATGTTGTACCAGAACAATCATGGTAATTAATATTGTTTTGAAAAATCGTCATAAGTCACTATGAGGGACACATGGTGCAGCTATCTGAATGTTTTTCGATAGGCCTCAAGAGATAAAATTTGTAAAAAATAATTTTTATATTTTAAGTATTATTAAGCACTAGCAGTGTTTAATTTCAGTATAGTAGCCTAATGTTGTAATTGTACTGTTTAATTGGTATTTTCAGAGATTTGTCTGATTATTACGAGTTTATTGAAGTTGTGTAGTGTGCTTACTTTTTTAAATAAAATAATTTGATAACAATGGTTTGATAATTACCCGTTCACGTCTCTCCTCTTTGTGATTTTAACACATTCACCCAGAATGAGAACAGTGCCACCTACAGGTCATACTTTTTTTTAAGGCTATTTCTTTTCTCATAACTTTTGAACAGTTTGTCAGAAAATTGTAACCTTGGTGTTTATGGATTCCTAGACTCATGCCTAATCAGAGGATTTTGCCTGGATCGGACGAACCGGGACGAACCATCAGTCCGCCATTTTGAATTTTGCCAGAAATTGCAATATATTTTCATCAGCATGTCCTGAAGGTAGGCTAATGGAAAGTTTGAACACAGTGACACGAAGTGTTTCAGAGATATACGTTTCTTTGTAGCAAAAACGCTATTTGAAAACATTGTTTTTTTTTCTCTGTGTCCTTAATTTCCTTGGTTTATTATGCCGATTCTGATAGGCCTATGTAATTTTTCTCTTTCCATCATTTTATTTGGCCACCATTGTTTTTTTCCCCGCTAACGTTACTCCTACAAACTTTGTCTAAAATCAGATCTTTGGACCGAGGCACACGTTAACCTTTCATGTTTGTTGTTTTATTCAATTCAATTCAAATTTATTTGTATAACGCTTTTCGCAATACATTGTTTCAAAGCAGCTTTTCAGAAAGTGCATTTCAGAAATGTACGTGGAAAAATACTTTTATTAATTATATAATTATATATAATACTTTTATTTAATTATAATTATAAAAATACTTTTATTGAATTATATAATTTAGGGCATAACATTATGCTAGTTATCTTTGTATGCTAAATGGTTAGCATGCTAACAAATTGCCATTCTTTTTCTAATGTGACTTTTCAGCTTAACAGGTTAACCGTAATCTACGTTAGCATTAAGTTATTTTAGCATGCAAATCTGGTTAACATCCCAAGTAGCTAATGCTTTTGTTTGCTCATTCTCACTGAAAGCTCTTCTCAGAAGCTTATATTGTATGAGTAGCTCAATATGTTAAGCCACAGGCCCTAAACGTTTTACATCGTGGCTTCGAATCCAGTGTGTACCATATCCAGACCACAGGAGGTAAGCTACTGAAATGGTGCAATAGTTTTTTTTTATGTTCCAGATTTCTATTATCTCATCTGCATACAAAATGCAGTGCGTTTATGTATAAATTCTTCAGTTTCAGTTGATTCTCACTTAAACTATCTATAAAGTTGTGTGCTATGTTTTTTTTTTTTTTTTTTTTTTTTTTTTGATTACTTAAATAGGCTATGTATTTTGTTCATTCTCATATAAACTTCTGTTCATTTTGAGTTTATCCTACCTATAGGCTATCTGAACCGCAAAAAATATAGCCTACATGCGCTATTCAACATAGGCTACTATTACTTTAAATATATTTTAATAATCTAACTTTATTAAAATGCTTTGAAAATCATGATGTAACCCTACAAGTTACAACACATTAACTGACATTTCACACTCCTGTGAAAATACATGATTATTATTATTAGGCCTCGTGATTATTATTAACAGCCATGATTATACATGCATGACATGAACATAGACGAAAGTTTCTTATCAAGCTTGTAGGTTTTTATTGAAAAGGTGACCAGGATTCTGTACAGCAAGCAAAGAGAGATTTCTAGGGCACAGGAGCTTCTCTCTCCTCATCCCTTCATCTCTCCCTCTCTCTTTCCATGCTCCTGGGATAAGAGGGATGTGGGCAGGGGAAAGAACGGATGACAAAAAAAAAGTAAATAAATTATGGAAGGAAATAAAAGAACCCGTGATGCAGGAGAGAAAGAGAGGAGAGGAACTAGGGAGGAAGAGGGAAGTGTGTTTATCTGTGCCTCCATCCGACACAGAGACACTCAGAGGCCTGGGAGAATCTGGACTTTATCAGCTCGACAGACACAGACTGCAATGTGAGTCAGGGTGTCTGTCACCCCGAAAACATCCGCCCCTCATAACGGCGGCACGGGGAAGATGCAGCCTCTCAGACGTCTCTCCTCCTCTCTTTCCTCTTGCGCCCTTCTCCCTCTACTCCACCTCTCCTCTTCCTCTCCTGGACTGGCCCTCACTTGCTGGCCATGGTGTAGCAGCCGTGCGGGTGCCACTGCATGTCACGGATGCGCCTCACAGACTGAAACTGAGGGCAACGGGCGCCGTACTCGTTAAAGTGTCTGTATTCGCCCTTCTCCAGCAGGTACTGGCTGCCACGGTATCCGGGGTACTGATAGCCAACCCAGCTGAGAAAAAAAAAAAAAAACTCTGCAGGTTAGTTTGTGCACCCTTGATATTCAACTAGCATAAACTCATTTATATATTTCAACCAGGGTTGTTTTAGTAAACTAAAACCATTTTTTTAACTTGAAATAAAGGTTAACCGAAACATATTTTGATTGTAAAAAATGATCGTAATTTTAACGGTAGGAAAAACTGTTAATTGATTAACAGAAAGTTTCCTTACTACTGTATATACAGTATAATGTGATATATATAATTGTACATTTAATGTAATTTTACTTTTAAATACCGTTCAATATACAGTTTTTGGAAGTGAAAAAGTCATTGTATAATTTACAGTGAAAAAATGTAAGTTGATATTCCCACAATTCCTTGTGTGACACTTCACATTTAATGTATTTTTTTAAATGACTGTTTCTTCATAATTTTCTTAGTTTTTTTTCTATTCAGTTATGTCCTTTAGGGTTTTATTTGACATTTAATGTTGTTAAATTAATGCTTATTTTTATTTTTTCAAATTTCAACATGTTACCATGATGGTGTTTAATGTTTGTGTAAATCACACTGTGCAGCTTCTTTAAATAAGTATTATTTTGCGTATGATGAGCTTTGATTGATCAATTGATTTTCTTTACTGCTGTGATGGGTGGCTGTCAGTGTATTACAATGGAACAGAACAGGTCAGTAAATTAACATTATATCAAATAATGAAATACATTTAATTGCTGTAAAATTCTTTACGGTTAAAAGTCTGTAAAACCTAAAATGTTGCTACGGTATTTTTAACAGGAAAGCTTCCCTTAAGTAATTTTCCTGGTTAACAGTTTAATACGTTTTTGACAGCCACATTCATCAATGCTATCAAGCTTTTGGGAAGTGCACAGAGTTTGTTCAAGTGAATCCTCAGGGGTCACAGGTATTTTTCACTTACGTTCCACAGGTGACCATGATGCTGCCAACTCTGTCGGTGAATCCGTAGGAGAACAGGCTGGGAACGTCATCATCCATGATCTCCATCTTGCGGCCCTTGTAATGACCAACCTCATACAGGCAGATCTTGTGCTTCTCAGGGTCCTGCGGGATCAAGAAAGTGATCAGTGTCATTCGAGTGCATTCAAATAAAAGCCTGAAGGTGTTAGCGCATTGTCTGCGCATTTACACACCATTCTGACGGGTCTGAAGGAAAGCAGGTAGTCGTTCTTCTGACAGTTGCTCCAAGAATCCCAACGAGGATACTCGCCCTTCTCCAGGATGTACATCTCACCGCAGAAGTTCATCTGCTCAAAGCCCACAAAACTGCAGAGTGCACATGAAGAGGTGAGTGAGATCGGTTATTCTTCCTAAAACGTGTCTTTTACATAGATGCAGACTTTACGGTGATGCTTACGGTCCACACTCCACACGTAGTGAGCGAACTCTGTCCATGCCCATATCACAAACGTTCATGCACTCGGCGTTAATCTCAATCATGCGTCCCTGGAAGTTCTCCTGGTCGAACACATGCATCTAATGGAGAGAGAGAAACCTGTTAGTGTAATGTTAAATCGACGTCCAAGTGTAGGAGATGTTGTGCACATGAGGATTTTTACCCTGTAGGACATCATGCCCATCTCGGACTTCTTGCTCTGGGCTGCCTTGCCGTCGGTCTGGGAGGCAGTCTTTTTTTCTGCACTGGAAGACATGATGCCTGGGGTAAAATCAAGAATAAAGAATTAATAAAAATAAACTCGTATAACTGTAATATAGCTCAGAATTGAGAAAATGAGACTAAGAAATGGGAGGGGCAAACACTAGTTTACATAACATGTTATCATATCTATGCTGGAAGAGAGGGATACAGTGTTTTAGGAGATGAAAAAGTCAACACACATATGTTTGGAATTGATGTAGGGGGTCTTTGGGGCAAACGATATAAAAGTGGTATAGTGACAAAGTGGAAGTGCGGGGGGTACATGCAAAACCAACTCTCTTATACTCTCCAAGCTGTTAGGTTAAAGTTTTATGTGTATGTGAGTGGATATTCTGCTGTCTTACCTGTGTTCAGTGAGTGTGTGTCCGTACCCAGGGTTCACTCTGAGAGTGTTTGCGTCTGGCCATGCCCACAGCTTTTATACCCTGGCGCTGAGTCTGTGAGGATTACACTGACACAATGAAACATGCCGTGTTCAGCAGACTCACAGAAAAGAAGACCCACATCATCAGCACAGAGTGAGAAATTGAGTATATGTGTGTAAGAGACAGAGAGAATGAAATAGAAATAAATTAAACTCCAACTAAATCACTACCCAATATTGGACTTTCAAGCCTAAAACACATGCAATATGGGGGCAAAAGTTTATTTATAGGGACTGAAACTAAACCAATAACTTTGATGGTGAAGAAAACAATGTATAATGCTGTTTACTTTATATGAGCAGATCGTTTTCATTTAACGTCATTGTATCAGGTTTCTCTTTCAAACACGATTAATTAAACCAATGAGTGTTTTACACATTTTTTAATTTCATTTGGGGGCCGAAATAAAATGAAAATGAAATTAGGATTGAAATTATTTAAAAATAATTTGTCTTGGACTTGTAGTGCTGTGCACACACAAAACTTGTTCTCTTACAAATAATTGTATAAATAAATAAAAGTACATAATAATAATAACAATCTAAAATAAATGGCAACAATATAAATGTATAAAACATTGTGTCACTGGAAACATTCAACAATTAACCATTAATCTAATATGAATATTGGGTGGACATGCCCACTGTAATGTTCATTATGAATTATATTGA